AAATCAAAGGCGAAAGCAAACATTTTTCCTTTCTTTTCTTTTTAAAAAATTAAATACTTAAATTTACATAGTTAATACTTCTATGCTCCTTAATATAAGATCTATTTAACCAATTTAATTAGATTAAAAAATTTAAATAAGTTAGTTAATTATAACAAATATGAATTTTTTCTAAAATATTATAATCATCTTCCTTAATATCTTCTATTTTCTCCGACTTGATTATGATTGAGGGAATATCTATAGGGATAATTTAGAAAAAATTGATAAATATGATAAATAGGACTTATATTTAAGACCAAAATTAATTCAACAATTAGGTTTTATATTAAAAGCTAATAACAATATTAATAACAAGGGCATGAAAAATTTCACTTACTCCTAATTCAATGAAAAGAAAATAATTTAAATATAGATGAGCTTAGTAAAGATAGACAAAATCGCTTATATATATATATATATATATATATATCATAATAACATCTAAAATATTTATTTTTTCCAATGAAGTTAAAGTTGGAAATTGGAATGATGAGGAGGAACTCAACGACCTTTTGTTCGACTCCACTCTACCCAACGGAGGGGCATTCATACATGTGGACCAGAAAAATTCTGCTTTGACTCCTTCAACAACCTAATTATGCCTTTTTAAGCCGCAAATATATCGCCTCTCTCTCTACTTACCTTAATAATCAAACAATTCCCCTTTGTATTACTTTTCTTAAACCAATTCCTTTCTCACTATTATACTCACCCACCACCTCTCCCTGCAGGCTCCAAGTCAACATCGTACAATTTTACAATATTCTGTACATATATTTTAATTGTTTCAGTAATAGTTCCACATTTTTATCCGCGAAATGGAGTATTGCAATGGGATTTGTCACGAGCTCATGTAATAATGTCACAGGAATTATATATGAAAGTGATCATTAAGATTTAAGAATATGATCTTATTGGAATAAATGCTGCATCTTGTAGCTTACACTTGTTTTGAAGACAACCCTAGAGACAAAGTAGCTCTAAAGCGTGAAACTGTGTCGGCGTTTGATTCTACATTACAACTTTAAATTAGTCTTAGCCGAAAGCCCTGTGGCCTTTGACATCTCAGTAAAGGCTTAATAAGTTTCCTCCTTAATTAAACTTTTGATTTAGGAATCTTACCTACTGCAACATACGGTTCTGTTACTTCTTTTTATGCTGTTTTTTTTTTCCTTGTCCATTGTATAAACAATTTATAACATGTATGTCAGAACACTTCTTTGTAGGTTTAATAACTCGCCGTGACACTAAAAGAGTACAGAAGCTAATTTTGTCCCCCACCCCCACTTCTTTATTCACGCTTAACTATAATGAAAAAAAGCAGGGCATTAACTCTCTTTAAGTTATTTTTTAAATTTGCTGATATAACTTTGTTGATACTAGAATACTATGCTAATATAACCTTGGAGATAACTGTTTTTACTGTCAGATTGCTTTCGTGATCTCCGACAAGAGGGGTTTTTTTTATACCACCTCTTGTACTAAATATAAAAATTGATTGGAGATTATAAATATGAGATCTTAATCCACTTTATTTGTCAAATTTATAATTTTAAAAAATATCTCTATTAATTGTAAGATATCTTCACCCAAATTTAGTTTTAATGTACATGATTGAATAATAGTAATACAGAAAAATCAACACACATTTGATATAAATAATTGCTTTAACTAATTTTTTAATCTGTTTAAATTAGTTATTTAACTCTTATATTAAGGACCGGAAGTAATATTAGTTTCTTCTTCATCTGTACTGGGAATAATAATAATAATAATAACAAAAATAATTTCAGAATCCTTTCATATATATACTTTCTTATCTTGGGCTCCCTCTCCATAACCAAAATATCAGTACTTTGCCTTAAACTTCATTTCTGTAGGCTCGAATTCTAAAGATTTCTCTTCTTGAAAGGCGCACATATGGATAACATCTCAGAAACGTCATCACAAGATGATCTCTCTAAAACCACTTGGTATATACAGCTGGAAGTTGGATATGCTTATTACTCATAATAATCCATATCTGCAAAACGTAACACACTAGTCTTCCAACAATTAATACTCAATCCTCATATATACACAAAAAAGAAAGCATTTTTCCTTGCTGACAGAAAAAAAGGGAAATAGTAGAAAGTCAATAATAGCCTCTTATTAAATGCGTCACTCCATATCATACATTATATTGAAGACTAGTATTCCACAAAAAAAGATCGTGGTCAGTTTTGCACCTAACATTAATATGTGAGGGAGCCAGAGAAGTGACCTTATCCAAATTCTCAACTTCGTTTGAATGCTTGCATTTCAGAATTTAAACGTGAATCTCTTCTCATATGAATTTGATCAAATAAAAAAAAATGGTAATACAACATTCCAAATCAGCTGAATCAGACTCGTTTGACTCTAGCTACTTTGTGTGTGAATGCTTTCAAGATTTTTACACCTAAAATTATTTAGGAGACTTGACAATATGATATCACCGGTTATGCGAGAATATTAAGCAGTAGTCACCCAAATTATGGAACAAATTACCAGTTTTTTTCACCAGCTGGGAATATATTCTCTGGGCACTTTAGTGGTGCAGAAAGTGCAAAGCTAGCATTGGGAATCTGATTTTCCGTTGCATTACATTATTACCTGATTCCTTTCCTCCATCTATTCACAAAGTAGATTTTTCTGCTCATCTTCTTACCCCACCACCCCCCTCACTTTATTTTTTTTAAAAATAATTAAATATGAACCCCAAGACAAGAGACACAGTTTTTGAGTGAAGGAGAAGAGTTATAGAATGTGATAACTTTTCTTCTTCTTTTTTTTTTTCAAAAAAATTGTAAAAATGTCGACTTCATAGAATGTCCAGCTGTGACAATAAGTAATCCTGTTCAGACCAATATTGGCCTCTTTCTGATCCTCTATAAATAGGCTTCTTCAAGTCTCAATTATCTGAACTCACAGAATTTCTTCACATAAAAGCAAATATGGGAAAGCTCGCAGCCTTGTTCTTCACTACCATCTTCCTCTGCTATGTTATGTCACAAGCCTCTCGCCCTCACCCCGCTTTCCTCAAGGATTCCTCCCCAAAAGCGCCACATCTGGTTCGTTCAATTTAATAATTTTCGCTTTTCTCAAATGCTCTGTTTCTGGTTTAATAGCTTTCGTTTCATGACTTCGATCCATACATCCTAATAAGGTTTTGTTTATTTGTGAGCAGGGCGTTGAAAGTGAAGCAGAGCATGAGTTGACGGTGGAAGAGAGGTGTGAAGGCATCGGAGAAGAAGAATGCTTGATCAGAAGAACACTTGCGGCTCACGTTGATTATATTTATACCCAGAAGCATAAACCTTGAAGCATCCTTATATAGCAAATATACATAGTATATAAACTGCAAGAGTCCTCGTGAGATATTTTTGGTGAGATATTGTGAGAAAAGGAAGTGTTAATGATAAGGTTATGTACCTAATTTACAGGGTGAGTAGTGATTCTCCATGATGAGCTTGTGTTGTTTGTAAGAGTTTGTCCAGTTTCATTGAGGTCACGACCCAACGTGCAAATATGTTAATCAATCTTTGCGATCGATCGTAGGCTTTTCGAGCGACTATATACGAAGCAAGTGGTTCATACGCTGTTCATCTTCTGGGCTGCTGTGTTTCGAAATCTGTAACTCTAAGGAGAAGGAGTGTGTATGTGTGTGTAGTGTGTCTTTTGAAGGATCATAATTGTGGATTTAATGCTACTTTCTCTTGTTCACCATGATTCGCTTGGTGACAAGTAATGTAATGGTACAGTGAATTACTCTGTTTTCAATATTCAATGGTATGCACAAGCTGAGATTAATTTATGCTAGTTTCAATCCTTAATATAATAACTAGTTTGAGAGTTAAATTTGATTATAAATATAAAATATCAATTCATTCTCTACCCCATATTTATTATTGTCTTTCTAAACCATTTCTATTAAGTGGACATGTTAAAGGAGTTTGTGTTATGAGGTAGTTTTAATATAAATGATTTAAAAGCACATTTTAAGAAACCAACGCATATTTTTTTACGAATAATTAATTTAACTAATTTTTTTAATCTATCTAAATTAATTAAATAGATTAGGAGATAGTATTAGTTAACATTACACATTAATTTTGAGAATACATTTCTTTCTTGTGTATAAAAACATAATTTTGGGAATATATAAGGGAAGATGGAGAAGCGCCCCCAACAAATAACGCAACACATATGCCTCTCGTGTTTTCCTTTGAAAAAATTGTAATTAGGTCCCACCTAAGAGACTTAAATACAAAAAAGTCTCTTAAAATTATTAAATTATTATAAAGTCTCAAGAGGCTTTTTTGCAATAAATTTTATTTGTTTCAATACCAAATTGTTCTTATTATTTTTTTAAGTTTGTATTGATAACTGAAAGGGCTGTCATTAACAACTTAAGGTGCAATGATTGACAACTATCGTGGCAGGTATTGATAATATATTTTTTTAGTACATCACAAAATGTAATACATGAGTTGTTAATACCTACCGTAATAATTGTTAATTCTTATGTCTTAAGTTATCAACGACTATTCTTTCAGTTGTCAATATAAACTTTAAAAAAAGAAAGGTAATTTGATAATTAAACAAATAAAATTTATTACAATAAGATCTCTTGAGATTTTAAAATAATTTTATGATTTCAAAAAAAAATTTTATATTTAATTTTCTTAAGTAGGAACTAATTATAATTTTTTCTTTTCTTTTTCTGGTTGGAGAAGCTTGAAGGCCACAAAGCATCAGTATTCATCAATAATTGTACCTTATGAAGGAAGAGCGTGAGAGGACAACGGAGCCAATGACCTTTTCGCATTCTAAATGTATAATATAAATATAAGAAGGAATAAAGGTAAAGGCGTAATTAATACAAGCAGGAAACGCTAGGGTATTGGGAGCAGTCCCCACCCATGGACACCACCAAGCCACCAAAAGCGTAAGTGAGACGTCAACTTTACTCTCAATATTGTTTTTTTTTTAAATTTTTTTTATATAAAAAAAGTTTCGATAAATTGGATTGCGCTTACTAGCATCAAGCTATTCCTCCAAACATCAAGAATACTTATAGATGCACTTACTAATCACTCATCAACAAAACTCTCATTCTAACAACAGAATTTGAACCTATAACTCTTTTTTTTTATGCTAAAACATAGGTATCCTTCTATTAAAGGTAATTCTATTCGATGTACTATCGAACATTAAATATGAGCACCTCTCTCAATGAGAATTCGAACCTTAATCCGCCACATTGTGAGGGACTAGTTCTTTCTGTTAAATTCAATCCCGTTGGTTGAACCCATAACTTTATATGTGATGAACCAATTCCTCACCACCTAACTTTTGTGGGCTTCTCTCAATAGTCAACCGCACTAACAATGCTCTCATCAATGCATGCGTGTAATACTCAGGAGTTTGGGTTAACCCGTATGACCCACTTACTCTAAGTGGGTTGGAATGAAGCGAAACAAAAACTGCAATGAAAATGAAATAATTGCATTTTGGGCTGCTTTACCTATGGGCTATATCCGCGGCCCTCGCCGCCCGCTTTCTTGCCGTTCACCTTCGCCCTTTTCTTATTTTTTGCCTTTTCACTTTTACCTAAACGCTGAAGCATGAAGAAAGAAAAATTGTATTAAAGAAATTTTTGTTAGTATTTAATTGCAAAATTACCTTTTTAATTTGTTGAGTCAACATTTTCTTTTATTCGAAGTAATGTTATTAAAAATTAAGAACTGAAACTACACACTGTAAATTTAAGAGATTAAATTAAAATTTTATATAAAATTAAAAATATAATTAATCTCTGGTTCCTTATAGTTTCATATGATTTTTAATTAGATCTTTATAAAATTTTTTCTTTTTGTCATATCTTTTTACTTTCACATGTTTTTAATTAGGTCCCTCTATTTTATTTTCTTTTTATCAGGTCCTTATAGTTTTATTTATTTTTTAATTAGATCTATTGTAGTTTAAAAAATTATTTATTGAATTTTTTCTTTAAAATTAATTTCATTTTTAAATTAATAATTATATAATTGGAGAAAATAATTAATATAATCATTAATTAATTAATAATTAATCAGAATAATCAATTACACTTAACTATAATTTATTTATAATTATATTATAATTTTAGAAAATTTTATTATTATAATTTGAATTTTATAATCATAAAAATTAGAATTGAAGAATAAATAATATATATGTTTAACTAAAAATTTAAAAAAAATTAACATAAGATTATTATAATAATTTATTATTAATAGAATATTATTATTTATAAAATAAAAAATAAAAACTACGAGAACTTAATTAAAAATAAGGTAAAATAATAAAGACCTGATAAAAAGAAAAAAATTATAAAGACATGATTAAAAGCATGTGAAATCATAAGAACCTTATAAAAAAAAAGTTATAAGAGCTTGATTAAAAATCTGTTGAAACTATAAGTATTTGCATATTAATTGTCACCAAATCTTTCACCATTTCAGTTACTTTATCATTTATGCTTTTTTTTAAATCTTTGGAAAAATTTTCAATTATGCAAAAGGGATTTATGTTGTATGGGTCATGGAGCTTTGACAGATTTAATTGATGTGGGCTTTTCACATCTGGCCCATCTTGGTCGGTGCCTTGCCTCCCTCTAGTTCCTCGCTTCTGTCGACCTCGCTTCGCCTTTTGGTGGTGAGGGAAGGGAGATGATAGCTGAAAGCCTCGAGTCTCCAAGGTTGAGAACCAATACAAATCAAGCACGCCGTAAGTTTTGATTATGTTCGGCAGAAGTAGATTTCTTTCTTTTCCGATGGTGATTGGAGCTGTCGTGTAAGACGTCTGTGCCTAATGTGCTCTCTTTTGATTTCTGGATTTTTAACCATCTTTTGCCCTCTCGTTGTATTAAATCACTAATATCAAGTCTATTGAATAAGTGACTAATTTCACATGCGGAAGTACAATTAGAGGTCATATCATTCATATTCGGTAAGCGCAAATGATGTCTTGGTTCTTGCTTTCATAACGTTGCTTGGTTGAACGTTTCTGCATTTGATGATTTCTTGATTGATATTTGTATAGTCTTTGTGTTGATTCACCCAAATTGATTCTGATTGTTTGTGAAAGAACTTTACTTCTCGTCCAATTGAGAAACTTGCTGACATTACAATATAATAAACGTATTTCGTTTGATTGAGTTCTATTTGTTGAAGATGATTATCTGCAATATTAGACGTGTATGCATTAGAATGATAACTTCGAAAATAACTACTTCCAAGAAGCGCTCTAGTGTGTTATTTAGTGTAACTTCAGCTAGGGTCTACTTTGTTGAAGCTTTGTGGTCAGTATGCTGCAAGCAATGCTTAACATAAAACTAGTGATACTGAAATAGGAAAACTAATTTTTACAACTTTAAAGCAGTCTGAGGTTTCAAACGAGGACTAGAGCTTTGCTGGAACAGAGGGATGAAGTGAATAATTTTGCTGACAAATTGCACCCAAGCTTTCGACATGGCTACTAGGTAATTTAATGGAAATCACCCAGTTTATGATGTACTAGAGGAAACTTGAAGCATTATTGATTGGAATTATCATGTCCAAATTAGATTCATGTATAGGGAAAAACAACTCTCATGCTGATATGTTGTCTAGGATATCTAGGAACACTGATTGTAATTTTTGTACCTTAAATCAAACAACATCTTGCTACAGGGAGGTGGTGAATGATGATGGGTTTGGAGAATTCCTATTTCGAGTCTTTGTATTTTCATTTCTTGTGAATGATGTTTGCAATTACCATTCAAAAAGGGAGGCAAAATTCCAAATGAGAAAGCCTGAATTTAAGTTGAAAATTGTGGTTTTCCAGTTAGCTCCTGTCTGGTGCATCCTGTGCTGTACGGATATTTGGTTCTATTGATTCATTCTGTTTTAATTCCTTTGTTCTTGATATTACACTTCAAATCAGCCTAGCCTGCTTTAAGAATTTCAAATTTTTGAAGTGTTAAGTTATATGCTTATATTCGAAGGTCTCATTGTTCTTTGGATGCTCGTGTGTGGTCTTTGCAGGATCGGTGTGGTTTCTGGTAAGGCAATATTTGGACCACCAATTGATGAGTATTGGAAAAAGAAGCTTCAGGAAGAAGCATCAGCAAAGGAGGAGGACTCAAGCTCCACTTAGCTCTCCATCGCATTAAGTCTTGCCATAATTGCTTTTTCATTGGACTGAAGTTGAAAAGTGGCAGACAACATTTTATTTTGGGTTGTACTCCAAATAGTCAGTGCATCAGCTGTGCTATATGTGGTTGTTTTGGGACACAGCTTCAGTTTCTAGTCGCTAATTATCATGGAGGGACCCCCCCCCAAAAAAAAAAAAAAAGAAACAAAATTCCCATTCTTTTCAAGCCTTTTTCTTTCTGCTAGTTTGAGTAACCTTTGTATTCCGCGACCTGAATAGTAAATCAAACTAGATACAGAAATTTATATAAAATTCGTGACTATTAGCTATTACAATCAAGTTTTATTTGCGTTGATCTTTGCATTATTATTAAAGCTCATTTTCTTTCCTGAAGTGAAATGGCCATCCATGAAAGGAGGCTACCACTAAGCACCCAGAAGATTTCATGGATCACATATCAGCAGTCCACTTAGCTTCATCTTGACACTCGCTCTTAGTTGTTTATAAACGCAGTTCAAACCACGACCCGAAGATGTACCTGCTTTATAAGTAGAAATGACTTTATGAAATACAACGTCTGATCCTAAATATCAGAGTTGGTTTACTACAAATTAGTTTTTATATGTAGGACCGGAGCCAGTATATATTATATGAAATGATATATTTACAGCAAGATTACTCTTTAAGAATTTCTAGTCATTACAACTTCAAACAAGAAACACTTTTGAGTTATATATACAGAATAGTATATTTACAGCATGGTTACAATTCAAGAGTGTGTACTAGTCATTACACCATGAAACAAATATGACTGTATAATTAATAGATGACGATTTTTCTCTAATGAAGTTATAGAAAACGCAGGAGACCGGGCCCTTGAATGCCGAGGAAAGATTGTCGATACAATTGCACACGACTCTTGACATCTATCTTCATTGTTAATTCTTTCAGTGACATGGAATTGACCATCATTCTTTGATATACAAAGAAATCGCACTTGTTGCTGCATTTTCCCAGCATCATCTGAGTCCGAAATTCCATTCAAATCCACTTGATGAATGAAACATTTCTCATATATTACTTAAGCAGGAACCAAAGTCCAAGCGCCACCCATTAAGTGCAGGCACAAAGAGAGACATATTGTAATTATAACAGCGGATTTGGCTGCTACATATGTCACAATTTCTACTATTGTCTCATGCACAACATCTGCAAATCTTCTGATACAAGCGCAGAACTTCTCTAACACAAACTCCATGAAAGATCTAACCGTCTCAAATGACACCCTACCAGTCACATCAAGAATAAGCCTCCGATTGCTGGGAACAGCCAATGTAGAAGATACCTTGCCCATCCATCCACTCTCTTTTTCTTCATCTGAAACTTCTTTTAATTCAACAGATGTTGTTTCTTCATCTAAATTCTCATCTCTAGCTGGACTTGAACTTTCTTCAATAGGCAAATAATCAGTTGAACTTGAATTGGCATTTGGGTCCGAACTTGTTAGCACGTGGTGAGATGTTTTGACGAGTGTCTCTATGGCATTATTACAAACAGAAACCACCATGTCTCTCACTTTACTCTCATGCTTTGGATTAGTCAAGCCGGAGAAGAAATCATCATACGTGTTGATATGCATGGTCTTGTCAAGATAAACAGTAACTGCTGTACTTACAAATAGTTGGACGCAATTCCCAATTAGGTCCCTGCACTTTTCACTGCAAACCGCATCCACCCATCCTGGCAAAGGTTCAGATTCCAAATTGGAGGAGCTAAGATGTCTGACACTAATCGTATTGCTTAAACTTGAATCTGATTCTCCACTCGAATGCCCATTTGAATAGAAACCACGGACTAGGTTCCGAGCAAAGCTTCCAACAACTACAGAAACAAAGCCTGTCCCAGAGGGGGCAAACAGTTTATCCACTAACCGATCCACAAGACTTGAACTATGGCTGGTTTGATTATGATCAGTGTTATTCATAGAATGATAACTTCGCAAAACACCAAGAGTTAAGGCCTGCGTAACGCTGACCAAAGAATCTGAAAACTCACGTGACCGAGTGATTTTGGAAAGTTGCTTCCAGCTATTAGGCAATTGATCCGAATCAGAGCGCAGAAACTCTTTCATATCTCTCGAGACGACCCCTACAGCTTCTGCCGATTCGGAGACTGCTTCGGAGATGGATATCAATGCTCCCAAAAGCTTTAAAAGTCTCTTCCTCTTGCGAGCAATTGAAGGCAAGTGATAAATTTTGAAAGCACCGTACCCAGTGAAGCCAAAAGCAGCAAGTAGAAAGAGCCACTTTTTTCTTTTACGGGCATAATCAAAACCCTTTTCGATGAATTGCAATTCCATGACCAGGAATTCCAACGAAACGCACAGATTGATAACTCCACCTTTTCCTCACATAAGTCGATAAATTCGTTCGTTCATTTATTCATTCATTGAGATCACTTGCAAGAAATTGAAGCTTCAACGCTTTAATTGCTGAGCACCTCCTTCTTGCTGAGTTCCGATGAAACGGCGCGAAATCAGGCAGACAGTGAATGGGTTTAAGAATAGATACAATGAACAAAGAACGTGAGGCTGGGCGGCGGAACAAGAGGGAGAGGAGAGAGAGGGAGAGATGAATGGAGAAGGGAAGGGGGTCAAGACTCCAAGGGCGTTGCAGAAGAAAACAGAGACGTCTCGTGTTTGCAAATTGGAATGGGAAGGGCAATTGTGAGCCTTCTATTCTTTGGCGGAGGCCATCACCCCAACCGTCACCGTCATCGTTCCACGCCACCACTCCAAATCTGTTTACCCCACCACACCCTGCTACTCCCCCTTTTTTTTTTTAAAAATAAATATTATCTGCTCTCATATATTTTCAAATTTCAACATAAAAAATAAATTGTTAAAACGAAAAAAAAGATTAAATTAGACTTTCATAGGATATAATATAAATTACTTATTTTTTATCACCAAAACTTTAGAGTAGATAATATCTATAAAAATAAGTTACAGTTCCGTCATTTGAACTAAAATTGTTATGGCTTATTGTTTATAAAATACAGTAACTACACTATTTAAGGAATAGTTTATATAAATAAATTTGATTTTTTATTTTAGGCCACAATTAAATTTTGTAATTCAATGCACGGTACATAATATTATTAAAATAAAAGTGTTAATAAATTATTATTAAGCCATTATTTTACTGAAAATAAATATTAGGTTTTAATATATATTTTTTGAGAACATAATTTGATAATTAAAATAGATAATATACAATGTTTTTGTGAATAAAAAGTTTAGGTGAACTAGATCAAAGTTCACACGAGTGAAAATATGTTTTTGTATTAAAAAAAGCACTTATAAAAAGATTGACAAACTTTATTGACAATAAAATCTTCATCTCAAAAGTAACATTTCAATCTATGATTTTGTGAGTTATCGGCGAAATTCTTATTAACGAGAATATTTTTTATTGGCAGGGAGTGGATAATTTTTAGAAAAATTGTTATGAAGATTTAAAAAAGCAATATAATTACTCAAAAATTTTGATGACAACATAACAGTTTGTAATGAAAAGTTTTAAGATAGAAAATAATAATAATTTAATTATTATTGAAATTTACTTATAATTATTTTTTTTCTTAGAACTTAATTATAATTCTTCCTAATTGTTATATCTCTCAAAATGATAGTGCAAGGATCCAGTAGTTGATTCCCAAGCCCACAAACAAATAATTCAACTTAATGTATTTCGGGATCATGGGCCTAGTGGAAGCAAAAGGATCATGTGACCAAGCGTGGAGGGGAACAAGCCGCCATATGGAATTGGGCTTGCAAATCAATAGGAGGAAAAGACGTGGCCCATTTGTGTTATCTGCAAACAACGATGGATCCTTACAGTACCGAATAACTGAGACGGCAACATGTATAATCCAATCCATTATACGGAAAGCTTTCACATAACCAACGGGATTGACTGGGTGTTTGGATACTTTACGGAGACAAACTCCTCCAAATATTTACTTTTTATTTTGTAAAAGTACTTCTGAAATCATAGTTTTGATTTTACCCAAACATCCCCTGAGTCTAGCAAAAAAAATTAGGTCCTCACAACATGATAAATTAAGGTTTGAATATCCGCTGTGAGAAGTACCCACATTTAGTATCCAACAGTATCTCAAATAAGATTATCTCTAATAGAAGCATACCTATACTTTAGCGGGAGGGGGGGGGAAGCTTTCACATACTTGTATCAAAAAAAAAAAAGGAAAAAAAGAAAAAGCTTTCACATACTTTGGATCATTAAATATACGCGTCCCCTTTTCAAGGGCAAGCTTGTCTCTTCCGATAAATGTAGTCCAATGATCAAGGCAGTAGCTAAAACATTTTTATCAATTTCCTCAAAAACATAATTATCCAGAAAGTTGGAGAAATGATTCTTCCTGAATACATCATATAATGTAAGAAATGAAAGCCTAAAATGCACCCATTTCTCATTATGTGCAACCCTCGGTTCTCATTCGTATTTAAGTCTCTCGTAATAAAGTCAATATATCACCAGTACCCTGCGTATATTTTACAATTATATGGATCTCTCATCTTCTTTACTTAAAAATGAAGTTGTTTCTTTAGGATTATTCTTCACTGGAGGCGGTGAACAGAAATGATCATCAACATCATTTGTTGGCGAATCTTGCTCTTGCTCCTCTCCTTCAAGCATCTCTACATCTTTGCTCGTTGAAGGATGATTGCTTGACCTGAACCCCCATATTGAACTTGAAAGATCACTATCATCCCTTGCTGGTAAATCTTGCGGATAACCATAAGGCTTTTGAGGCAATTCTAAGTCTTGCTCATCTCTCTCAAGCATCTCCACAACCTTGGTCATTGAAGGACGATCACTAGGCTTGGTCTGAATGCACCACAGCCCAACGATCATCATTTTCCTTGCCACTTTCATTTCTTCCTCTGTTGCATCTGCCATGTCGATTTCATTTCCTTCGTTTAGTTGATCATATACCCAA